CCGCCTCTATCGCCGGCGCGGCGGCCACTTGCCGCAGACAAGCGCGGCCGCCGGTGCCGCCCGGCGCCGGGGCGGCGGCGGCGGGGCGGCCAGGTGCGGGAAGGGCGCGGCGCAGCGGCGCCGTCGGCGCGCCCGCGGCGGCGGCGTGGGCGCCGCTGCTGCGACCAGGGAGGGCAGAGCTCCGCCCGTCCTTAGCGCCAACCCTGGGGGTCACCGCCACCACCGCAGGCGTGCGGCCACGCGCGCCCGTCGGGCCGCCCCGGGCCGTGGCGCCTCGCGGCCGCCGGGCAGCCCCTGCGACGTCCACTCCCGCGTTTTCGCTGCCGTGCCCGCGCGCGGCCTTGGTAGGGGTGTGCGGCGGCCGGGCCGCGGCCCGCGGTTTTGCGCCGCCCTGGCTGGGCCCGGCGGCGGCAGGCGCCCCATTCGGCCGCTGCTGCTGGTGCTGCTGCTGGTGCTGCTGCTGGTGCTGCTGCTGGTCTGGGCTAATGCCTCTGAGGACGGCGGGCGAGAAGATGTCTGGGGCTCCCGGCGGCAGCGGCCCAAACTGGTCGCCGGGGCGCTGCCGCTGCCTGCAGGAGCGACAGGGGAGGGGAGGGGAGGGGAGGGGGCGGGAGCCTCACGGAGGCCCTTGCTCGTGGCCCCGTCCTAACCGGGTGTGCCTCTGTCGGAACTGGCGGCGGGTCATGCGTTGAGAGTGTGCTCGTTTGCAAACGCGTTGACCTACCCTGGTTGCGGCGCCGCATGGTCTGCCTTGCTGGGCCGCCTCCCCCTATCAAAGCCGTCGAATCTGTGTGCAGGGCGGCCAATTGGCGGCGCGCAGTCGGCGCACACCGAAATCAGGCAAGCAGCGGCAAAACCAAGCGCGCACAGCGCAGCACGGCAACGGCACAAAGCAGTGAGTCGAGGTTGCAAAAGCCTCACGTTGTGACCCAACGCGGTTGCATGCTCTGAGATGTGCGTGGCGCCTTTTCCTCTGGTGCTGTTGCTTCGCTGACATAGATCATCCCACAACCAGATACAAGTACATATATATTCTCAGTGTACACATTCTACTTTATGATTGAAAACGCGTTTTCTGTTGATGCCCGCCACCAGCTTACTCATCAGTCACCTAGCAGTGTTGCTCAGTTGCGCCCTTGTAGAATCCGGGTCCAAGCTGCCCTTCTATGCTGCAGGGTTTCAAGCTTGACAAGGCAGCATCCTCTGGTGCTGTTATTGCTCTGGCAAGCTGTTCAGCACAGCACAGCACGGCAGTGAAGCGCACGCTTGCGTTCGAAGGGCCGGGCTCCCGGTCAACAATAACCAGCCAGCTGCTCGTTGCTTGCACAAAGGGGGGGCAAACGCGCACCGCCCCTCCTCAAGTACATCAGCAAGTCTCACTCTCTCTTGCAGTGAGGGCAAACAGCCAACCCAAAGCAGATCCCAGTCAGCCCGCAAATCTCATGCCGAGACTCTTGGCCGCATATACTGAACGCAGTTCTTGTCTGCCAAGGAAACAAGTTTGCAAGGCACGGCTTGCCATTTCGGCTGCGCAAATTGAGGGGCGCGCACCATCACAGAGCAGCAACAGAGCCAATACAGGCACGATGTTGGACCAGGTTGCTATACTGCAATAATCGCAAGGGAAGCCGTCACGCGCCTCGCCTTGGAATATTGGATTTGAATTTGAGGCCAGCTTGGCCCGAAATAAGGCCAGCCAGGTGCGCCTGTGCGTTCGCCAGCCGTCCGCTCCATCGCCCACCCGCGACGCGGCTGCAACTCCCACCACCCGCCCGCCCGCCGCCTACGGGCCCCGCGGCAGCCGCACGCGCGCGCCTGCCTAGCGCGTGCGCCTGTAGACGGTCCTGCAGCTCACGGGCTTCACATTAGGGTCCTCCATCGTGAGCAGTGACGTCACCACGAGCTCGTCGGGGTTGTCGTCCTGCACCCTGATCTCGTCGCGCCCCCGCCCCGCGTGCGGCGCCGGCCACTCGATCGCGACCTCGAGCGCGCGGCCGCCGTCGATGGGCCGCGCGCGGCCGGTCGCGCGGCCGCCGCGGAGGTCGCGGCGTCGGAGGAACGAGTCGGGGCCGTCGAGCACGTAGCGCTCGCGGACCTTCAGGATAGGCACTACCGAGAAGACAGCAAATGTGAAGCGCGTGCGCTGGCGGGGCTGCGGCTGCTGATGGTGGTGGTGGTGCCCGTTCGCGGCCGCCGGCTTGCCCGCCGCCGCAGCGTCAAGCGGCTTGTCACCCGCCTTCGCTGGAGGCGCTGGCACCGCCGCCGCCGTGCCGTCCACCTCGTCGCTCCCCGCGCCGCCGCCGTCGCTGCCGCCCTCGCTCTCGCCGCCGCCGTCGTCGTCGCCATCCCCTTCCTCGAACTGCTGGAACGTCAGCTCTAGGCCGCGCACCAGTGCGATCGCGCGGCGCTTGATGCCGCCGATGCTCATTGCATTCATGGCGGCATCCATGGGGTCGCTGCGTGCCTTGTCCTTGACCCAGGAGCCAGCGATGCGGGGGTCATAGCCAAGGAAGACCTCTTGCTGCTGCTGCTGCTGCTGCTGCTGCTGCTGCTGCTGCTGCTGCTGCTGCTGCTGCTGCTGTGCCGGAGGTGGCACCGCCAGCCCGTCTGCGGGCGCAGCTTCCGTGGAGGCGGGCACGGGCGCCACTGCAGCGTGCATTGCACGGGCTGTTGCTTCGCGGGTGATGTGGCTTTTTGAATTGCCACCACCTCCGCGCCTGCGCGTCGCGCGCTTGCGCTTGCACTGCCGCGAGGGCGCGAGCAGGGCAGCGCCTGCCAATACCAGCGCTGCGCCGGCGATTGTGCCGGCAAGGGTGACAAGACGAGTCCACCGGGGCCGCGCAGTAGCGGCTGAAAGGTCAATAGATTTGTTGATTTGACGGTCTTTCGAGTTTTGTCGCTGCTCCCCCTCCCCGAATTTGGGATTGCCCGGCATCAACCGCTGAGCGGTGCGACGGTGGCCCAACTATCGAAAAGAGTCGCTTGTATTCTTATATGAGCAATTGCGAGGAGGCTGGTCCAGGTCCAAAGCCAAGACGCTGGGCGGGCACATCCTGGTTTGGCCCAGCCCAGTGGCAGCGCCCAGCAGCTATGGCTGCGCTGTGGCCCGCAGGTCTGCGTCACACCTGCATCACACTTACAGCGTGTAGCTGTATGATGGTTTACCACAGCTTTCAGAGTGCCCGTCCTCACAGGCAGCGTCTTTCCAAAAGGTGAGGACCCCCCCCCCCCGGCGTCAAACGCTGGTCGCCTGCATGGCACTCATGCACATGAACACGCCGCCATGCACATACCCGCACTAACACACCCACACACATGCACACAGCCACATGAAGCTGTAGACATGCACACACCCATGCACGTACCCACGTGCGCATTCCCACATGACCTCACACATGCGCGCCCCTTGACATGAACTCCGGTGCACCATGGGCACTTGTGCCACTGCCGCACTCCGACGGCCAGGGCCAGCCAAAAAAACCCTGACATCACTTTTGCTCTTGGATATACAGAAGCCGTTGACGCGGCCTAGAGTCAATTCATCACATATATGCAAAAAAAACTTAATTGTACTTTTCTGCTGCAATCGAGCTTGCCCTTGGTGGATGCCCACAGGCACCTGCGGACGCACTGCACTCCAATGCCAGCCGTGCCGCCCAATGCTGGGACTGGACGCTTGCATGGCGTGCACGAAGAAGCCGAGTGATACAGGTTCAGGCATTATTACAGGCGGTACAGTATCATTTGTGCAGCATGATGTGCTCTGGGCGAGCGCACCCTTTGCAGTATTGGCAGGAAAATCAGGAGGCGTCGGTTGGCAGCGCAACTGCCGGGCAACATCAGTGAAGTGGCACATTCCACGCGTGTCTCTTCTCTCCGTTCTGCATCTTTGTGTGGTGAACGCCAGGGCCTGGCTAGTGCGGGGGCACTTCGCATACATGCACTCTCAACCTTGACCATGATTCGGCTTCTAAAACTCATGTACTCTCGACATGTCACAAGACAACATGCAGCATGCCGGCAAAGAAAGTCAACTATCCTTGGATCCTCTTGTTGCCTGTACACAAGCAAGTGCGTGACACAGTGTTTTTTGGCGACGGCACGATGATGTGCGAAGGGCAGGTGGGGCGCACGCCTGCAGGCAGCACGCGCCAGCAGCAAGAGTTGCAACAGGGTGCCAAGGCCTGTGTGGGGCAGCCAGAATCGATGACGCAAGCACGAGCAAGCAGACGCGCTGCAGATTCACGCTTGCAGCATGCGCTTGCACGTGCTGGTTCACAAGGCAACTGCAGACTACACAGTTCGCACCAAACCAGCATCAATTCTCATGAGGCAGGCGGGAGGGGTGCCTCGTTGGCTTGCGCACCCCTCCGCCCCTGGGCCGCCCTCTGCACCCGCCAACGCCCCCAGACCCACCGTCGCCCCGTCACACCGCCTTGCCGTCCGACCCCGCCGGCGCATGGGACTTAATACGCACCACCGCCTCAGTGTGCGGCGCCGCGCCGGCCGCGTAGCGGCTCGCGCGCGCGGGCGCAAGGGGCATGCCCTCGATCCACCTCAGCCGGAAGGGGCGCAGGCCCAGCAGGCGCCTCGGCGACTCCCTCACCACGAACTCGTACGTGGGCGTCGACGCCTGCGCCGCGAAAGCCCTGAGCTGCTTGACCGAGTACGAGCGCACGCAGGAGGCGAACCCGTCGTATGCCGCGACGAGCGGCGCCGCCGGCAGCGCCGCAGCCAGGCGCAGCAGCTGGCGCCCGAGGCGCGGCGGGCGGGCGGTGAAGGGCAGCAGGAAGGGCACGGCGACGCCCTGGGCTATGACTGCGAGCATGGTGATGGGGTGGCGCTCCACGACCTGTTGTTTTATCCATAGTGCAGAGTGGGGGTGAGGCCCGTTGATTGCAGGGTGGGCGGTGATGAAGGGGTGATGACGTGCGGATGTGTGAGGTCTGGTCATGCCGCAGGGCGCCGTGTGCTGGCGGCGTGCATCAGGCGGTGGGTGCACTCGCGTGTGTGGAAGACAGAAGCAGAGGACGAGGCAGAGGCGGGGGCAGAGGCACAGACGGTGACAGAATCAGAGACAGAGACAGAGACAGAGGAAGGAAGAGAATGAGTGTGTGCGCTGTGCCTGGACTCACGCCGGCGTGCACATGCATGTCTGTGAGGGGCAGATCAGCCTGCCATCCGTCTCAACGCCTATTATGACTTTCGGCAGAGCCGGCAACGCCTGCAGGCACGCATGCCACCGTTTGGGTGAAGGCCAAAGCGCACCGGAACCCCCAGGTCACCAGCGATGCGGTCGATCCGCCCACCTCGAATGCCGCAAAGGGCTGCCCCTGCCGCGCGGCGTCCCCGAGCACCCGCAACACCAGCGGCGGCGGCAGGTGGTGCAGGCTGTTGAAGAGCGTGCGGACGCCGCCTCGCAGCTCGGGCGGCACGTCGCTCGCGTCGACCGGCGTGGGCACGCCGCGGCAGACGCCGGGCGGGAGGCGGCGCTCGGCAAGGGCGAAAGCGGCGGCGTTGGGGTAGAGGTCTGTGAGGACAATCTCGTCGACCGGCCCGAGGGCGCCGCGCTCCGCAAGGCCGACCAGGGCGCCGCCGCCGCCGCTGCAGAGGTCGACGATCATGCGCCGCGGCGCATGCTCGGGCGGCGCGGCGCCGCCGCCGCTGCCGCCGCTGCTGCTGCCGGCGCCGTCCTCGCCGCTGTCGGCGCCGTCGGCGTGCTGCTGCAGCTGCTGGATCTGGTGGGCGGCAAACTGATCCAGGAGGCGTTTGAGGACGGGGCCGGCGCCTTCAAACACTCTGGTAAGATCCGTTATCACTCTGAGGTAGCCGGTCACCGCATCACGAAGGAAATCGGGGCAGTGAGGGCTGTCCTCGATCTCAGGGATGTTGATGCGCTGCATGGTGAGCGCGATTTGAGCCCTCGCGCCAAGTTCGGGTCGGCGCTGTCACACTGCCGAGCGCCGCAAACGCGTTTGAGCGGGCACGTTGAGACAGCGTCTGTCTAACCCGCAATTTTGACGTTGAGAAAGCACGCAGCGGGCCTCCAAAGCCCACACGCCCTGACGCCCTCTGTGACTCTTGGTGCGCGGGCAGCTGCGGGCTGGCACGGTGATGCCAAGAGAGTACTGTTCTTCTGCGACAAGAAAAATGAGCAAGTGTGACAACATCGTGCAGCAGATCGGCAACTTGCCCGACTGGGCTACCCAGGCGCTGCTTCTCACCTCACGAGCAGCTGGGGCGGCGGACAGTCTGAGTGCCTGATGTTCCCGCCCTACGTGGTCGCATACGACCCAGTAAACCCCTCTAGAAATCTGGAGGCCTTAATAGGCCACCTCGTGAAGGTCATTTGTGCCCGTAGGATTGATTGGCTCATTTCAGGTCGTCCCACGAGGGTGCCGAGGGCTGCACAGTCTGCCCCAGTGACAGGTTCCCACTTCAGCGCATCCTGCTGCAAACCTGCAGGACTTTGGCCTTATAGTTGCACAACCTGGGTGTGTCTTGATCTCTTCTTCTCACGCGTGGGCTGCTTTCATCCCAAGTCAAGGTGTCCCTGCAAAGACCTGTGCAATCAGGTGCCTGGCCACCGCTGCTGTCCAGAAGTGGCTGTGCGTGGTGTTACAGCTCTAACGGCTCGAGTAATGTGATGATGTGAGATGCAAGCCGGGGCAAAAGGCCCTCGTTGCTACCGTGGGTGCCACCTGACACCTGAAAAATCCAGTGGGATCGGCATATATATAACCCTGGCTGCCCAGCAAATGCGGTACCGACGGATGCAAGTGCGGACGCGTGAGGCTGCTTTCAAGAGCCCAAGGCGATTCTGCAAGGGCAATCACAGAAGATGAGTAATAGGCGTTGATCGTGTCCTAGGCCAGGTTCTTACATGGCAAGCTATAATGGCAGCAAAACTCGCCGGCAACGGCCGCCTCGGCATTTGGGCGCAGTTAGAAAAAGTAGGCGGGCAGAAAATCCCCCTACTTTTCTGAACAAAGGAACCCGCTTGGTTCGGACAGCGGGGCGCATGCATAGTTGTGTGAGAGCGCACCAATCAACAAAGGAGGGAGCTGACATAATCCCCTGTGCAAAACCAATCAAGTGCTGACTGCTGGCGGCACAGTGCATATGTATCACAGAGATTGGAAGCGCAATAGGCAGGAAGCCAAAACTACAGCACCGCCGCCTGGAAGGCCTGGGACACCACACACCAGGGCCACACTGGGCCAGCCCTTGTTCTCCTCCTTGCCAGTGGGCTCGGCGACCCACGAGTTGATGGCGGTGCCGACGACGGGGACCTTGCGGACGGTGTCCCCTTTCAGGGTGCCCGCAAACGCGCGCCATACGCCGCCCACATCGTGGGTGAGGCCGTCGCAGGCGGCATCGTTGTCACAGGCGGAGCGCATGGCCTTGAAGTTGGAGGTGGAGGAAGGGGGGGCCGGCCAGGGTGACGGTGGTGCCGATCGTCTTGCCCAGGAGCTTGGGACATATAGGCAATTTAGATGGGTGCCCTCCTTGATCTCAAACAGGACAACGCTCGCATCAGGATTGTCCCACCGCGCCGCGGTGCTGTTGCCGATGATGTTTGCAGCATTGATGTGGGCGCTGGTGATGCGCCAGTCAGAAGCACTGGTTCACGCCGTCCTGCTGACCATGTTCTGATGTCAGCTTCGTGTGCCACCCTGGCCAAGGCTTCCCTCGAACGAGCAAACACACCTTGGAATACTGCTAATATTTCGGTACAGCCACGGTATACGGGCTGTTGACGCGGCGGCCAAGCCTCCGGCCAACCCACATCGCGTTGGCCGCGTGAAAATCCGCTTCGCACTCCGTGCCACGATTTTCGCTACGCAACTCTCTGCTTCTGTCGCCTTCCCGATGCATACAACTATACATAAGGACTGCATTTCATTCTGCATCCATCGACCAAGCTTAGAAGGCTCTCAAGACTCTCGACAGCCCGACACCGACACCGACACCTCGACTCTGAAGATAGCTCCACGAAAACAGCAAGTTCCCCGTCTGTTTCGGGATTTTGGCAGGCGCCACAGCTTGTCAGCCGCCCCTGCGATGCAGCTCTCCAGGCTCGCCGTGGTGCTGCTCCTGGCAGCGGCACTGTGCATCGCCCGTGCCAGCCGCGACCTGGACGACTCTTCCTCCAATCGCCAGCTGCTGCAGACCCCCACCTCCGCTGACTGCGACCGCTCGGTCAAGCACTGCACTGCCTGCCGCTACCAATTCTACCGCGGCACTGTGACAAAGGTGCGGGGCGGTGCAGCAGGTGCCGCGGGTGTCAGTCGGATCAGTGGAAGCGTCGCGCGCACATCCAGGGGCAGGGAGTCTAAGCCAGACAGCCAAGGGAGGCTTGTTGTACCTGACCCCTTCACTCTTTACCCTCTGCCCTGACCAACCCCCTCACCATCCCCTTGGCCGCGACCCTCGTCCCCACTCACTCCCGACCCTCACCTCCTACGCGCCCGCCCCAGGCCATCTGCACAAAGTGCGACACCGGCTACGCCGTCAAGGCCAGCGGCCGCGCCTGCTACTGCGCGCCCGGCTACTACACCACCGAGAACACCGCCGTGAGCGGCCAGACCGGCTTCACCTGCATCCCCTGCGACTACAACAACGTCTGCCCTGGCGCCAAGATCACCGCCGAGTCCTCCACGGCCTTCGCGGCCTGCGGCGCCAACAAGATCACCACCACCCAGTTTGCCAAGTCCGACCGCGAGTGCGTCGTGAAGCCTGGCTTTGGCTGGGGCTCCGGCGACACCTCAGCCGCCTGCGACGCCGGCTTCTGTGAGTCTCCACCCTCTGCCTTGGTCTCTGGGGTTGACAAGGACGTCTGTGTGGCGTCAGTGTTGCGTCGTGCGCTTGGGTGGGCGCCACTACTGATGACGGAGGTGGCGCCTGCTGGGGTGAAGGCAGCCTGCAATGCAGGCTGAGCGCATGGTGCCGCAGCCGCATGCGACACTGTGTGCATACCTGCAGACAAGGCGCTGTGCACGCATTCGTTCAGTAACTCGGACAAGTGTGAGCAAGGGCAGGGGTGCGCGAGAGCCCGCCCTGCGCCGCGCCTCTCAACAACCAGCCAACTGACGTGGTGTTCTCCTCTGCCCGTTCCTCCCCGCACTTGCACTCCCCACCCGCCCAGACAACCCCGGCTACAACACGCGCAAGTGCACCAAGTGCCCAGGCGACCTGACTACCGCCGGCACCAACTCCAACTCGACCCAGGACTGCCAGGCGCCCATTGGCTACTACTACCTGCGCGGCAAAGCTGTCGCCTGCGCCCGCGGCACCTACAAGAGCTTCGTGGGCAACCAGGACTGCTCCGAGTGCCCCAACGGCGTCACCACAGCCGCCGGCGAGGTCGGCAAGACATCCTCGTCCGCCTGCACTGGTGGGCACGCACCCTGGCTCAGGCCGCTGCACGCATGAGGGGACGGAACCGCTGGGGTGCTGGCAGCAACCCAGTGCGACGGGGGCAACCATACATCAGGGCCGTGCGGCTCAGCGGCATCCACCAGCTAAGATGGGGGGCCATGCGGCCGGCCAGTGTCTTGCATCACGCCTTTCCATCCTCACAAAGAACATTGTCACCCACATCCACTAACCCCCTTCGCTTGCAGTGCTGCTGGCCGGCTACCAGTTTGCGTCCGCCCCCACCGTCGGCACCACCGACGCCACCGAGTGCGGCCAGGACTCGTACCGCACTGGCGAGGTCACCTTTGACGGGTCTACTGCCGTCACCTGCACGGGCTGCGGCAACAACCTGACCACCCTCGCAAACGTTACCAAGGCCACCAGCCCCGACGCGTGCCTGGCTCCCCCCGGCTACGGCTGGGCGCCTGGCGGCACCAACGGCGCCGGCGTTGCCACCCTGTGCCCGGCTGGCTCTTACAACCCCGGCTACAACAGGGAGCCCTGCGTCAAGTGCGGCAACGGCACCATCACCACCGCCGCCGCGGGCTCCACCAGCGCCGACCAGTGCTACACGCCCGCCGGCCACGGCAACAGGCGCGACGCCGTCAGCGGCGTGCTGGAGGGCTACGTGTGCCCCAACAACACCTATGGCCGCCCCAACAACACATTTGGCCTGGTGGACGTCGAGTGCACTAAGTGCCAGGAGAACACCCACACCCTGCAGACAGGCTCCACGGCCGCCGCCCAGTGCCTCACCAATGCGGGGTACGGCTACGACGACGGCTCTGTTAACCAGTGCTCGTACGGCTACTACAACCCCGGCGACAACCAGAACCCCTGCACCTACTGCGGCGACGGCTTCAACACCACCAACAGCGCCAACGCCACCGCGGGCGAAACCGGCTCCGACGCCGCCAGCGACTGCAAGCTCGACTTTGGCTACCACCTGTTCGGCTCCTCCGGCGCGATCGAGCCCTGCCTGCGCGGCTTCTACAAGGGTTTCATCGGCAACGGCTCCTGCAGCCAGTGCCCGGCGGGCACCTCCACCACCGCCACCATGGCTGCCGTCGCCAAGACCGACTGCGATGCGTGCCGCCCGGGCTTTGGCACCGGCACGGCCGACGGCAAGATCGTCCTCGGCTCGCTTTCAAACACATCTTGCAGCATCTGCCCGTCGGGCACCTACAGTGCCGGCTTCACCCAGGGCGGCCAAAACTGCACCGCCTGCCCCACCACCCAGAACTTCACAGGCACCATGGTGTCTCGCAAGGTGGGGGCGCTGCTGCTGGGGTGCAGGGGTTCCAAGTTTTGAGCGACGGCGGCGGCACATCAAGGGACGGTGGCTGAGGGGCGCTGAGGAGCATGCATGCAAGCCGGCTGGCATGCCCGCTTCTTGCTGGTTTTGCACAATCTACTCCTTTTTTTCACACTTGGTGCGCACATCCCTGACCTTGGCCGATTCGCGGTCCCCACCTGCCCTAAACCCCAACCAACCCCAGGGCACCTGGACCCCCGAGGACTGCTTCGGGCAGTTTATTACAAACCCTGACAACGAGCAGACCTTCCTGCCCTGGGACTACATCTACCACGACAACGCCACCATCCTGGCGCTGCAGAGCGGCCAGACCACCCTCTCAGCCTGCCAGACAAACTGCGGCCTCGACAGCACCTGCCAGTACATGGTGTTCTACAAGACCGGCGGCCCCGACGGCGACGGCATCAACAAGTGCTACTGGCGCACAACCGGCGCCGACATCAGCGCCGCGCACATCGTCGGCGACGGCACCGCGGCCTGGTGGGACAACCCCGATGTCAGCGTCGTGCTGTTTGAGATCAAGGAGGGCGCCTACGTGGCCTACCCCAAGCTCCTGGGAGAGACCATTGGCACCACCGTCACCCTGGCCGGCTCCCCCTCCACCTCCGACTTCAAGGCCATGCGCTCTGCCTGCGACAAGGACGCCGCCTGCGTCGGCCTCACCCACGACGTGGGCGGCGTGTGGCGCGCGTTTGCGGGCACCCTGCGTGAAGACACCATTGGCAAGATCCGCGTCGTCGGCACCGCCATCAACTCGTGGGTTGCGGAGCCCACTGGCACTGAGGAGAACGAGGGCTGGTCCAGCGTGGCCCTGGTGGGCTAAGACTTCCGTTGCAGACAGCGACGCCATAGCTTCATCTTCCTGCCTTTCGCGCTTCTCACCTCCATCCACATATATATGCACTGCTGGGCTGGCGGCAACATGCACCCCAAGTGGGTTTGGCACGTGGGAATCTTCGAGTCCAGGCCTTTTTCGATTTGTGAGCGCTGACGCATTTATGCCTTTGCCCCGGTGTCTCAACCAAGCCGGCGGATGCCCTCAGTTTCCTGCCCCCTTACTTTTCATCCCGTCGCCTGGCTGCCCTGGCGGTCGGCATCAGCAAGTTTCGCGCCGCCAACATGCTGTCTGCCGTGTTTTCTAGCCCAGCTTCAACACGATTCGCACTCGCACTAGCGCCGCGCCTCTGGGCGCCTCTGCGTTACATTAGACGCTTCGTTCACCAGAGTCTCATTTGTCCCTCTGTTGCCCTTCCTCATTACTTATACTCTGTGATTGCCCTCGCATCATCGCCTTGGGCTTCGTGAGAGCAACCTCACATCCGCACTTGCACACACCACACGTCATCGATCTGTACTAGCTGTTCAGGGCAGCAAGCATTCTATGCCGATCGCACTGCACTTGCATAGCTCCTGGTGTCAGGCGACGCTCGCAGTTGTGGCAAGGGCCTTCTGCCCTTGCTTGCCGCACATATGATGAAAACACAAGCTGTTACGGCTGTGCGTGTAACACCGCAAGCTCCTACACGGAGTCGGTTGTGAGACTTAGTGGCTTTATTTGGCAGTGGCAGGATCTTGATTCGGGATCGAACAGACCCCACCAGGGTAGAAGGGATCAAACAACATCTGCAACATACAAACACTTTGCTATGTTTTTCTCGGAAATTGCTGCAGGATGTCCTGAAGTGGGAGAGGCTGTCACCAGGGGCAGACTGCACAGTCCAAGGCACACCTGTGCCGGCCAGGGTCCCTGCTTGCTTGCTGTTCAAGCCTTCCGGTCATGGGACATTGGAGTCTAGATGACACGGCGCCTGCTCAAATCTCCCCATGCTCTCTCACACACACGATTTGCACCCCAGGTAGGCGCCAATCGGCCACGATGCGCCCGCTCAGCTGACTCTTCACACTCGCCTTCACACCCTTGGTGTGGTTGAACCGACTAACCCTCGATGCTGCAAAAGCACTAGGAATGCTTGAATACACTTGTTTTCTCGCCGGGAACTGTCCATATTAACTTGACAGACGAGTGCGTCACCCCGGTCGCGATCATCGCGATCACGCAGCCTTGGCCAGACCTCCCACCCCCAAGCTCCTCTCCAATGGCAGTTCACTATCAGGCGCGTGTTGCTCTGATATTGGGCCTACTTATGGCCTCTAGCGTGCCCAAGTCTGCCCGCGGAGCGCCGTTCGTCTACTCAGCAACCCTCGTGCGCTGCAGTGAAGCCACGTCAACAGGCATGGCCGTGGTGAATGTCGGCTGCGGCGGCGACACCCTTACATCCGGCTCCATCAACGTGCTGCCCTCCAACGGGCGTGTGGCCGTCACATTGAAGGGTGCGAGCCAGGTGAGGGCGTGATTCCCCCCTGCTGCGCCTTTAGTTTCTCAGCTCGAGCTGGAGTCTACAGGGTGTTGTATGGCCGGTCACGTTTTGACGCAGCAAAATAAGCTTCTCCGAGCGTCAAGAACACAAAGAATGCACCTTGTTTCTGCCCCATGGCAGGCAAGGCCTGCCAAGCGCTCCTGTCCATCGTCACTGTGACATGCACAGCACCCTCCCCCCATTGTATTACTCGCTCTATCCACAAACACCCAGCAAGAAGCCTGCAATGCTGCACTCTGTTATCCAATGGATCTCCCCTAGATCAACCTGTACGAGGTCTATTGGCTTCCCTTTGGCGCACCATTCTCATCAGCCTACCTCATCGGCAACATCGCCACCGACTGCCGCGGCAACAGCATCAGCCCCACAGCGCGCCCCATCGCCAACGGCAGGGAGGCCCTCGCCACGCTGAACCTCGGCCCGAGGCTGTCGGCAGCCGCCCCCGCGCTCAGCAGCGGCGTCTTTTTGCTGTATTCGCGCGGGCCCTACGGCGGCAGCGCGGTGCGCTGCAAGCCCACCACCTTCAACACAGTGGTCAGCCCCACTGACTCGTCCAGGACCAACGCATTCGCCAACCCAGCAGTCAACCTGAACAGCTCCATAGTGCAGTTCATGAGCGGTTACCAGACCTGAGAGGTCGCTTGAACGGCCCAACCACGCCGCGCGCCCGCCGCCACTGCCAAAGGCGGCTTGAACGGCTCAGGCGGCGGCGCTCGAGGAGGGTCAAGATAGAGGCGCTGGGCTTCAGGACCTGGCCGCAGCGCAAGCCGTGTGCATGGGGCTTGTGCTCTGTCATGATTTTGTTCAAAGTGCACTGGCACTCCCTCCACAAGGGTGCTGCAACGAAGTTTTTGTCGATATGCTCAGCCAACCCGCTGCTGCGCCGGCTCATTCACATCACCTGCACCAACTCCCCCACGTGGGCATGCAAGCCTCCCTTCCCTGCGCCTTTGACGCTCCTTACTTGCTGAAGCCCTGCCTGCAGATCCGATTTGTCACCCCACTGTTGCCATTCCTAATGGCTGTTTCGCCCGCTTATTGCTGCAGCACATGCTCCTGGGTTCCCATCATCATTCATTGCTTGCTTTTCATTCGGGCGGTGAAGCTGGGTTCTTTCACCCCAAACCTATGGCCCGAGGGTTCACCACTCTCAACAGGGCGCAAGTGCGCACTTGTCGTGAGCCACTCACCAGAGATCACTTACTCTGCCCTTTCTTGGCGCGAAAAGCATATCTGCGCATGCTGCATGGCTGCCCCATGGCGAGAACCCACAACTTTGAAGACGTCTCTCGAGCCAGTTTGGCCGTTCAAGGGTTCACCTCACTGACGGCTCATCCCCCACACCTGCCATCATACCTACATCAGCCAGCCCTTCATGGCCACATGCAGGTCTGCCATCCATACACCACGCACGTCCCACCGCCCACAGGCGATACGTCAGGGAAACCAGCCCTCTGACCCTGGGGTGCGGCCCGTCGCTGGCCCGCCCCTGCCCAAACGCAAGTTCTGTCATTCACTTCCAAATCCTGCCTGCAGGTTGCTTTGGGATTGGAGTGTATGGGTGCTGCAACGTCAGACAGCACGCGTCGACTTGTAACTGCCTCCCTCCGTGCAAAGTAGCAAATCTGCTTACTCTCATCGCCTGTATGTGCATGTCGTGTCACCACGCACGCTCAAGTGCGCGCATGTGCTGGGTTGTAGGCATGGGAACATCATCTATCTATGGTGTACAAAAACAGTGGCGAGGCAGAACACAGTGCACCTGACAGTATGCAACTGTCCGTAGTGAGTGACACACATAACCCCGCTGAACTGCAAGCCTTGACTGGGTCCTGTTGGTGGCTGCAGCGCCAAAGCAGCGTCTATGATGTGCGCAAAAGGGTTGTTGGTGTGCTGATCTGGGGGCGTGAAAGCAGCGGGGTGGTGAGGTCACAGAGCGGCGCAGATGACAGCATAACATTCGTCTTGGGCTAGCCCCACCTCAATCTGTCACAGATACAAAACTGGCCCCCATCGGACGCCCCCCACCACTGCTGGTGCCATGACACCAAAGCGGGGCATACACGGGCACAACAACGGCGCGGCCGCTGATAGCAAAGGGTGCTAGGATCATGGGTCAGTGCGGCGCAATTTTATGCCTGCTTGATTTTAAGGTGACACTGCTCGGCCCCGGTCAGGCCAGGAGCGGCCTCTGGTGGCCGCCACCCTTGTGCTCGTCCGGGCACCGGCCCAGCGCAGCCAGGCACGCCATGAGCACGGCGGCGGCCGCCGCGACCGCCAGCCCTTGCCAGCAGCCGGCCGCCCACTCGCCAGCCTTCACACCGACCCCGCGCGCCGCGGCCGCCGCCCCGCGCGCCGCGGGGTGCGCCGGGCCGGGCGGCGGCGCGATGTTGCGGCGGGAGGCAGCGGAGCGCGCCTGGCCGAGGGGCGGGATCTTCACGTCGCGGCGGCAGGCGTTCAGGTATGACTCCCCGACGGAGCCGGCGCCGGCGGCGCGGCGGCGCGCGAGGGCAAAGTCGGGGGCGTCTGGGCAGTCCATGGGGCGCAGCTGCAGGTCCAGACAGGTCTCAACCTGGGTTCGGTGGTTTGGAAAGATGGCGACCGTACGCATTTTAGTGGCAAGATGTGATTTGATGTGATGCAATGTCATGTGATGGAGTGATTGCGACAGGGGATAAGGCGCCATGGAGTGGGCAGGGCTGCTGGCAGCGCCCCTACCACCCCTCAGGCCAGCACCCTGGGGCGGTTGGGGCGTTCATTGGCCGCGGGAGTGGCCGCAGCCGTCGCCGCGCAGGCGCTCTGTTGCGATTGAAGATTGATACAGAGCAAACTCGGGGCCGTCAAACTCAACAGGTGGGTTCATTGCCGAGAGGTGCCGCTGCACGCAAGGTTAGATCAAGGACGTCAAACCTCGGACCCCGCTCACGTGTCCGAGGTTGCCCTGCGCGTCGCAGAAGAAGAGGGCCTCGTGGCCGAGGTGGCGCCGCAGGGCGTCGTACAGCTGGCGGCCGGGGTAGGCACGGGTTGCATCGGGGGTGATGCCCTCCTGACTCAGCGCGTCCTGCGGGCCGCACGCGCACGTGCACGCGGATACCCAGGCAAGAGGGGTGACGAGACCCCGGGGTCGTCGGGATGGGAAGAAATGCGCGTGCTGCGCTGCTTTAACGCGCGGCGCGCAGCGACGCGATGCCCGCCTCGGGCGTTGTCCTTCGGTGGAATGGGGGCCTGTGCCAGCCCAGCTGCACAAGCACAGCCTGCGTGTCAGTCCCTTGGGCATATGAAGCGCGCCAAACGCCACACACCAAAAGCTGTGGGGAACCAATGCACAATTCATAGACAGCAGCAGCAGAACAAGCAGCAGCAGCAGCAGCAGCAGCATCAGCATCAGCAGCAGCGACAGTAGCAGCCGCAGCAGCCGCAGCAGCCGCAGCAGCATCAGCGACAGTAGCAGCCGCAGCAGCCGCAGCAGCAGCAGCAGCAGCAGCAGCAGCAGCAGCAGCAGCAGCAGCAGCAGCAGCAGCAGCAGCAGCAGCAGCAGCAGCAGCAGCAGCAGCAGCAGCTAAGCCCACCCACCTCGATGTTGAAGCGCTCGTGCAGCTCCAAGGCGCGCGCAAAGTAGTCATGCTCGTCAGCCACGCCCCCGTTGGCCATTGCACATGTCCCATGTTTCGCCCACTCGTGCTGCCAGAAGCCCGACCCGTTTGTAGACTTGTAGCTCGGCCACTCGGTCTTGAGCTGCGGCGCGAGGTCGGAGATCTTGGAATACGAAAAGGCGGCGGAGGAGTCGCAGCACTGGGGGTAGTCCGGGGCGACGTCCTGGCTGAGGCACTCGGGCCAGAGGCCGTGGAGGGTAAACTGGAAGCTGCGCGGCGCGAGTGCAAACGTGTGCGTGTATTTGTGTGTGTGTGAGAGAGTGATTGTTGTGAGTGTATTGTGTGCACGTTTGTGCGCATGAGCACGTGAAGGTTGGTGCTGTTTTGGGGGAGGGGGGTGGGGGAAGAGGGCAGGGGATGGGTGCGATTCATTTGGCGGACGAAGGCAAGCAGGTGTTTGCGGGGGCGGAAGCAGAACACTAGCCTCGCATCGGAGGAGCGAATGAGCAGAGGGGCGGCTGCGCGTCGGAAGGCCGCAGCTGGCGGGTACAAAATTCAGATGGCGCGCGCCGCAAGTGGGGGCTCACCGGTACCAGCCCGCAGTCGACTACTCAGTGGTGGGCCCACGCCTCGAAATGGCCACAGCAGGGCCCATCCCCCTTTCCCGCCCTCCCACTGCTCGTCCCTCCCAAAACCCCCCGGGTCTGGCGCGCTCTGGCTGGCCGCTCCGGACTCTGCGCGGGCCGGGCCGTCGCACTCACTCTGAGGTCTCTGGCGGGTTTACGCAGTCCTCGTGCGCGCAGACTGTGCCCAGCCACTGGCGTGCCAAAAGGTAATAGTCAAACCCAAGGTCGCCGCGCTCCTGCGGGGCACAGATGGGTCGGAGTCAGGTGGGGTACGTTATCGTGCGTGGGGCGCCCGGTGGACGGCCGCGATCGCGCGCGCCTGGTCGGGCGTGCCCGTGCTCATGCCCGTTCCCAGCTGTGCCGCCAGCCCCGCGCAAGAAACGGCGCGCTGCCAATGCGCGCGGCATGACTGGCGCTGCGCTGCTCACCCTGCTCCTGCAGCTGCGGCGCGGGCAGAAGTCGTTGGGCGTCGTGGTGCGAGCGGCGTTGGGCGCGGTACCGGCACTGCCGAGGGGCTCGACTGCTTTGACGTGAACCAGTTGTGCAAGGATAAACGTTCCACATATGACGAAGGCCACTACAGCGCTGATCCTAGCCATTGTGATCGTGAGTGGTTGCTTGTGTCAAGAGTTACTCTGGTTGAGGTCACGGGTGTATAAATACGGATGTATATATAAGTAGGGCGATCACGCACGAAATGAGGGCTCAGCATGCGTGTTTACGCACGACAAAGATTCCCACCCACCACCCACCCGGGACACCGGACAACTGGTGAACCCCGCATTATGTTGTAGACAGCGCTGTGAGTGAAAAGTGCTCCTACAAAGCTTCTAGCACCGATCATGGCCTGCCATCGCTGCCCTTGCGCCGCTCAACAGTCACATGCGCAGTCATCGCTGACCTGGCGAAGGCGGCAAGTGCATGCAAAAGCAGGTCCGGGGGGGGGGGACGCATACAGATGCACCATCTCCTCCATATCCGCCCCAAATGAGTGCAATGGTACATGGATACAGCAGCGGGGCGCCCCCCACATGTTTCAACCAAAACCCTGGCCGCCGCGCGCCCCCGCCCAGTCCGCCCCCGTCCCGCACCCAGCCATCGCCGCCCGCACCGCATGCTTGTTGCGCTTGGCACCGGACATTGTGACGACGTAAAGGTGTAAGACACACGCCTGTTTCTGATATTGTGTATCAAACATGGGGGGAGTAAGTCATGGGGGGAGCAAACACCGGCTCACAGCATGTGCGGGCAGCTACTGCGGGACAGAGGGGCAAGTTCTTCAATGGCTCAAGGGAGGAGAGGCAATGACCCCCTACAAAGGCTTTTTGGGGGCCGGGGTGATGCCCAAACAGCCACAGGACGTTTGAAGTGGTATGAAGCGAAACAAGCTCTATCATCTGGCCTTTGGTCCGCAACGCAGACAGCCATTACTCATCGTTACAATTGGGGGCCGCCGCTGCCTCCGCCCCCTCGGCCCCTCGGCCCCCGGCCGCCTCCACCGTCGCCGCGCCGGCCGGCGGCGCCGCCTCTGCTGCTGGGGCCTGGGCCCTCCACTGGCCCTGCCTGATGGGGAGCAGGATCACCCGAGCTTCCAATCCCCTCCCCGCCGCCGCCGTGCCGCTCGCCCACC